TTGTTCAAGTTCCATCAACTCCAAGAGTCATTAGCATTACTACATTGATTATGTATTGCTTGGAAAAATCATTTAAACAGATTCGAAGACTGAGTAGTCCATGCGATCAAATTAGTAAATAGTACAAAACTTATTGGACAGATTCGATGTGCGCATATATTTTTAAACAAGACTGAACAAGAATAGCGAGTTTCATTAGGTAGGAACAAGTATCGGTGTTGCGATTCAGGAAGAAGTACTATTATTGCAAATCGATAACTTGTCTCCCGCAAAAGTGCGAAGTACTTACTAACCGATGGTGTAGGTTGGACGGTATGAAAAAGTGTATAATGATCATACGCGGAATCATTTTTCCTTCTGCGAGCATCAACATCGGCAATTCAGCAAACTTGAATCCGCAAACCCGATAAAATGGGTCAATTACAGTACGAAGCGAGACCTTCATTGTACACTTGTTACGTTTATTATTGGAAGTTATGTATTGATGTCCATCGATGGTCCACTTTAATCAAGTTTTCACTTGATCTGTACTTCACGCGAAGTACAACTCAAATTCTGTTCAATAAGCTGTATGGCAATTAGTAGAATTATGTGAACAAAAAATCTTCAATATCTATTGTATAATTAAAGCAAATCATACTTGATTAGATTTAGATAGAACATAACTAAACGTAAAATGCATACAAAATAAACACAACATTCTTTGGTATATAATCACGTTCAAACTTATCCGTCTACGTGACATTAAAATACAAATGTATTTTCATGATGTTTGCCTCTCTTTCTCTGTTGTATAACGCTAACTTATAGTTTATTAAAAGTAATACAGCTTTTGCGGTATTACGAAAACTACAGTTGAACTCGGAAGTTCGGGTGCGAAAAGCAAAGCAATTGGGGAAAAGCGGCTAATATGTAGGTTGTAGGTTCAAATGTTGGGGATTAGGATTTGTAAGTCCGGGAATATCAGGGTTGAAGTTCGAAGATAGGACGAAAATTGCAAAAGTGAGTCAAAAAGTGAGATCATAGGATGATGAATAGAATATAGATAGATTAGATACAGATAATAGAAAATAGTAAATCTATATCTAATTTAAATACTAAATGTCGTTGGTATGCAATATTTTTTTTAATATCTTATCCAGCATTCTGAACCAATTTACCACGCGTTCCTCCCGTTTCCCTTTTAATATTTCCCTAACAGAGCATTCCTCTCTCAGGCTAAAAAAATTGTTGGCACATTTTTCAAAATGGAATAACTTTTAAAGTCATTCTGAGCTACAAACGATTAGCAGTTTAAAAAATCGCAGTTTTTCATGGATTATTTTCGGACTAGGGCTGAATAAATAAATTGAAGACATTTTACATATTTCAACGTCTAACTTTTTTATGCTTCCACCGATTTTTATGTAACCGTTTACATGTGTACAACATTTACATTTACAAACGGGATGTTTCAAATTTTTATTAGAGACCTCAATAAAGAAGTTAAAAAATGCAGTGTTCACTTTTTACTTCGCAATTCTGACCACTAAAAATTATGAATAAATCGCTCATTGAATAATAAACTAAGCCTTCTATTATAATTCCCACGAAAAATTATGTCGTTTGGCATTTCAAAAAGCATGCCAATACTTTTGTGAACCACTGACTGTACAAAGGATAATGTTGTTATAGTGAAGTTAAGGTCAGTAGAAGCGTTTCTATACAAATGTTTGATCGCAAACATATTTTTGCGAAGTCACTTGGAGGAAACGGAACCCGCAGTGCAATTAGATACGTGTAACAAACAGAGCCCTGGCGTTAGATTTATGTTGTTTACGCTCTCACTCAGGTACGGGATAAAAAACTAGCGGAGAATGTAAATATCATTTATCTTTCCCATTACGTTTTTTCTCGCCATGAAACGTTAACGTGAACCGGCTGAATATCCTGAAACTTTAAAACATGTTCTGGTTTAATTGGTAACTTATTTAGCCGCCTCGTTACGCAGCACAGTTTTCAGTTCGTCGCACGATAACGATATTAAAATGGCCTCCGTAGAAAGTTACAAGAATTGTTTTATTTGTTCTTATGAAACAGGAGGCAAAATATTTTTCGAACTACTATTAAT